TTTTCTTCATGACTTTTACTATGCGTTTCCATGGAGTTTAGTCCTGTCTATGAACAATAGCATCCACTTTTGAGTGACAGTAAATTGCGAATGTCAATCAAATTATTCAATTGTGGGTTATTATGGATCACTATGCAAAAAAATTTCGTGTACAACACGTGTTGAACGTGTCTTTTTTCCATGAATTTGCTTGATTAACTTGGGCTTCGCCCTCATTAATCAAACTGCAAATTCATGAAAAAAAGTATCACTTTCAAGCTAGTTGCACAAATAACTATTTCCTATCACCATCCTCATATGAATTAGCGAATACAAAGTATCAGGTGCAAAATTGCGTGCAAATATATATAGGGTGTACCACGTAAATTTCGAGTTACTTCCTACCAAACAAACGAGGCAGATAAAAATTGTACTTTTTTTGCATGGCCACCTCGTTATTATGTAAATTACAAATAACTTATTTAAGATTAGAATATAAAAACCAGGAAATCCAAGATATTTTGAAAAATATCAAACATAGGTATATAGGCCATTATTATCAAAAGTTGAAAGTTTTTGAAAGAGCTAAAATATGACAGAAAAATATACAGGGTGTTCCATTTAAAAAAAGTGAGCTTTTTAATATGAAGTTTTGTAACTTTGGATTCTACAAAAAAACACCCTGTGAGCTATTTTTTAATGTTTCATAGTAGATGTATTTATATGACTTTTACTTTACCCAAGATAAAAGATATAAAACCTGGAATCAAAATTTAAGTAATAATTTTGACAATATATACTGACGCTTGCAAATGCCCAATTTTTCTTAAAAATCGAATAATTTTTACCCAAAATCGTCATGAAACCTTAATTTTCATGCCTACTTTATGTCAGGAAAATGATAGTTTCCATGACAGAGGCAGGCCAATCTACTTTCCCTGCCGCCTGTCACTTTACCGTCCGCACCTGTCACTTTTCCTGCCGCACCTATCACATTGCTAAATGTCTATAATGACTCCTGTCATTAATGATAGATTGGCATTAATCAAAAGTTCTATATGAAAATTGAAATTTTATATTAAAATACGATTTCGGGTAAAATTTAATACAAAACTCATCAGTAAAATGACATTACTTGACTCGGAAATTAAAGTACCCGGCCCCAAAGCGACCGCCAAATTTAAGTAAGTAAGTTCTTTAAGAATAACAAGGAAATGCAGAATAATCGGGAATGTGTATACGATTTTACTAGCAGGAAGTAAACTGCAAAGATAGGAAAGCAATATTAAGCACATTATTGGCAAGGTGTTGACGTATTCGGCATTTCCTGCATACTATGTTAATGAAAGATCTGTGATATAAATAGCATGTAAACGGGTTTGAGTTATAAGATAGTCCCCGCCCGAATTTAGTGTGTTTAGGATTTTTTTCATACCATAATTTCTAAGAACACTGAAAAATGCCATTGAGAAAAGTTGTTTAGAACTAAACTTCAGTACAAAATCATGACCTCCTATTCAGATTTTTACATTTTTTGGAAAATTTTTAGTTACACGCACATACTGCGGACGATTTATTTGGGCTTCACCACCGATAATAATGATGGGTCACCCTGTATGTGATTATTTTGATTGATTTTTGACGTTAAATGTTGGTCACTAATTCAGATTGAACACAATTTCGATCGTATTTGAATTGAAAGTCAATGTGATTTTATTTGATGTTTGATTTTGTTTAAATAACTGCTTTGTTTATTGTAATTGTAACTTTATTACGCGTTAAAAGATTGCATTTAAACATCTGGAATTCATTGGATGAATGTTTTGTTAAAGTTATCTTTTGTAAATCCGGTCGTTGCGACAAGAAGTTTTGTTATGGGTGCGTAAAAGCCAATGAAGTGTAGTTAATCAGATGTCTTTCACCAATAAGAAAACACAGGTGTTAATTTTTTACGTAGACGCAGTTGAAAGTTGTAACGTCCCGTTGTTTCGTTCAATATACAGTAGCACCACGCTCAGAAAGTCTCTGACAGGGCGTGTCCGAGGGCGCTTGAAATTTAGACCGTACATTCTGATGCAAAATTTAAAAACAGTTTAAGGGAATTACATACCTTATCAGATCGTAGATCCAAGCTATATGCGTCTTGAAAAAGACGAGTTTGTATGAAACTGGAGACGGAAAACGTAAAATAAAACAAATACAAGAAGCAAAGTGAAAACTAAAATAACGTAAAGCGTCAACTGTCAAAACGGAATAATTAATAATCATGGCGCGAAATGTATCCCGTCGATTTGCAGACTTTTATTGGCCAGCCTGAATTATTTCAAAATTAGTTCGCATATTTTCCGGGGCTTTTCTGAGTATGGTGGCACTGTACTCTTCGTTTGTATAACTGACTGAAGGCGCTCTTAGTGCGTTAGGAGTCGTTGGCACCATTGGTATTGCGAAAAATATCACTTTTGCTTTTGTCGTTGAAATGACAGGTCGATCTTTGCGAAAAATGTTGATTTGAAATTTCCAGAATCATCACGCCAAAATTGTTTAAATTATTTATCTAAGAGTCTTTACGCGAATGAGAAAAGGTTATATTCCTCTTGAGGTAAAGTTATTTTCATATCATTCCTCTTTGTTAACACGTTTCTTTTTAGGTTATGCCATATGTTTAAAAAAATTAATTACCTATATCGCAATCCGAAACCCATTTATTAATGGGAAGTGTTCTCGTATCGTTCGTTTATCGCTTATGAAACCTTTCCCAGTGCCATAAATTGATATTCAAGTGCAATTGTAGTAAAGAAGTGCAGTTCCAGAAGCAACATCAGTTGGTTTCTGATGTCTGTGTTTGTGCCCTCTGTTACGATTGGACATTTTTATACGTCTACAGGAAATAAAGATTATTATTATTATTATTATTATTATTATTATTTTGGTTTATGTACACGTTAAGATAATTAAGATTTCTTTACTTAATTGTTTTAATTGATCACTTGTGTGTGGTACTTTGCTTATGAGTCCTGTACACATTCCTTTTTTTTAGTTTGCTGGACGTGCCCTGGAAAAATGATAATCATTTCATATAAAAGATTTTGTTACTACTTGTGTTTAATTGAGCTAGCTGGACAGGTGCTTGTGGGTGATTTATTGACCGCTTGCCATTGCACATCGCAATACTTTTGTTATTCTGATTCAATACGTACTCAAATTAGCGAGAACTAAATTACTCTTGAATCATTGTTGTCAAATTGAACTGTATTGGTAAAATTTACGTAGATATTTCATATGTTTGTTACGTGTAACGGTAGCTCGCTTTGCAGTTTAAAATTTTTCCGAATTTCGTTTAAGCACAGGAAAATTTATGTATGTACCGCTTCATACGAAAGATGAACGCTGGTTCAGTATAGCGATAAACGAGCGAATTAAAACGAACTACAGACGGTATCAAATATCGTTTTGACTTGTCGTACAAACGTAAAAGATATGTCGAGCGATAACGCCACACACGGTACGAGAAGTTGTACGACAAATCGTACCTTCTGTAGGGCCTTTCCTCTGGGAAACCACCGTCTAACTTTCAAGTTGAAACGCGGCACTTTGAATCTTGGTAGCAGTCGACTCGGTCCTCCGTAGTGTATACTGTCGGTTCTTTTGTGTTGGAACGTGATATAAATTGAATAAAAAATGCAGGTTTGTGTGCGGAAGAAAAAAACAATAAAGTACATTGCGTACACAACAAGGCGATGGCAGGAAAACCTTTTATGGGCAAAAAACCTGGCATAACTCACACAAATACAAGAACTCAACTAACTAACTCAACCACAACACAATGTCAAAGAGAAAAACATACACATAAAACCTTTCAAATCGTCAAATGCAGTCAACAAAGAAGAAATAAGTGACATTTCTCAAGTGAAAAACACGATAAATCAAATCAAGTACAAAACACATTTACGATCAATTTAAGCAAAACAACTCGTAAAACTGTAAATTGCATGTACAGAGTGATTTAAATTCATGACAAAAAGAGACCAGGTGTTTGACTCTAGGTCCTCGGTCTCAATCTCGAATAGTAGAAATCATATTTGACCACATTGTGAGAAGTTTATGCATGGGGGATCGTTTTGCAGATATAGTCACAGAAACGATGCCATGTTGCTACTTGTTGCAGATCTGCTTTTTTATATTAAAAATATAAAAGTAACTTTTCGAATTATATTCCAATGCCATTAGCATCACATGGAGAAGGAAACTGAGGAAAGGATATTAAATACTCGATTCTACCGGTACTGTTGATGAGAAGCGATCGGTAACATTTTTGAGCGTTAAACGACTTTCTAAACTTTACTCATAAACATCTCAATTTATAACCGTCAAGTTTGTAGGCAATTTATGATGGAAAGAGAGAAACCGCAAACGGTCCTAATTGACCTGAAAGTTTTCTTTATTGACCGAAATTTTAAAAAGTTTGTCGAAGCGAATAAAAACCGGGCGATAGTCGACAATAAGCGATTGATTTTATTAACTTCGACGACAGTAATAAAAGTATCTGCGGTCGTGAGCCCGCATCAAAAAAATATTTACATAATCTCGAAACGATCAATACCTTCGCTAAGTATCTATACCGAATGCAATAAAATATGAAATGAACGTTTCTATTAGTGGAGCTATTAGGTCTTTGAACTGTAGGAAGCTAAAAGGTTTTTTCTGGAGTCGGTAAGTCAATCGAAAATCCATCTTTAAGATTTAATCCCCGGTGATAAAACAACAGGTTGTCCTTTCGGATAGCGGGGGATGACGCGAAAAGCTTGTCGCAGCAGAGTGCACTTGCAACGTCCCGGTGCTGGAAAACTGTTGCTCCAATAAACTTGCGATTTAGCCGTGTTCGTTAAATAAGCTGGAAAATATCCTCCTTTATCTCCGAGACGCTCAATTGAGCACGACATTTCTCGTATTGGGATATTACGAGGATGCTACCGTAAAAATTTACGTTTCGAAGACTGTAAAGATTTTAATTTCTGTTCCAGATAATGTGGGGATTTCTGACGTTCGTCTTTCTGACGACAAAGGAGGTCAAAGCGGAAACGTTCATATTGGGCTACTTAACTGGGTCCGAAAGGAAAGCCGGAGATTTCGAGTATTCGCGTCCCGGCCTTACAATATCTGGAGCGATCTCTTTGGCGGTCGAAGAAGTGAATAATGGAAAGCTCGGGGAGGGAGGCCATAAATTCGAATTTATTGTGGCCGAAACGTACGGCGAGGAGATTGTGAGCGTTCAAAAAACGGCTGAGTTATGGACGCGGAACGTTTCGGTCTTCATTGGCCCGCAAGAGACTTGCAAGCACGAGGCGTATTTAGCGGCCGCCTTTAATCTGCCGATGATTTCCTACGTAAGTGTTTTAACGAACTCGTTTAATCCACCCTGCGCTTAGTTTTGTACAGATTACGAGACATCGGATAAGAGGAGATTTCCAACTTTTGCCCGTACGAAGCCGCCTAACACACAAATATCGAAGTCGATAATCTCGCTTTTGAAAACTTTTAACTGGACGCACGTAAGTGACACTTTCAGCGTGGGAGCGATACAAACCCCTCACTTTCAGATAGTCCTCCTTTACCTCGACTCTCCAGACTTCGAGTATGGAAATGTCGCGCTTACCATACAACAGTCGTTAACAGCTGCCGGTTTTACGATAATCAGGGCGCTTCAGTGGAAAACGCCCTACCATCAGGGCTATACCGAGAACCCTTTCCATCAGCTCGTAGATGATACGTATCAAGATGCCAGAAGTAAGTACTCTTTAATCACCTAATCCTTCCACTCCCTTTCACTGGAGCTTTACAAATGTGTACGAACTTTGAAATGATTAAAGTTGAAAGATCGGCCGAGAAACAAAGACGAACTGTAAGCCTGCCGGATTTATGATATTGTCATTCGGTGGGAAAAGAAAAAGTAATTTACTGAAATGGATTAAATTTAATATACGGTACGTTGGAAAACTTGCCATCTTCGCTTTCACTTTGGCCCTTTTCATTTTTTTTCATAACAATTTATTACCGTTTCCAACGATGGATGTTATCTAAAATTGAAATAGGTATATTGGTATTTGCGTTATAATAAAACCGGTAGACTGCGTCAAGGTGCGTAAAATCTCGCTAATATTAAATTGGGAGAAATCATGAAGTGAGAAGTTTTAATTTAAATACGAAAAAGTCGAAAAATTGGAATTTAGTGTTTGAGGAAAGAAAATTGAAGCGTTACACTGCCCCCTCCTTAGAACCGCTTTCGTCCTGAAACTCCAACATATCGGGTAAGGATCATGAAGGAAACGACACGGTGCAGCTTTACAACAATTTCCACTCTTGGGAAAGAAATAGTCCATTTAGTCCATATCAACATGACGGTATAATTTGGGGGTATCAATTTTCCTTTTTGCAGTGGTTAGACAGGTTTATTAGGGTGCCAAAAAACCATGATTGCCATCTCAAAGCTCAAAGAAATAGCGGTTAATCAAAAATGGCGGATGTTGAGCTTTATAATATCAACAATATACAGGGTGTCAATTTTAAAACTTGCAGTCGGCCATATTTTCCAAACTAAAAAAGATATTGAAAATCGCGCAAAACCGTTTCGGGGGTATCGAGAGGGAACCAGAATAACGTAATGAGTGACAACCCCACCCCCTAACCCTCCCTCTTCAAAAATCCTAAATGGCAACCCCATACTTGTGACGCACCATTGGAAAGTTACTGAAAAATGCTTTCCAGTGGTACCAATAAAGTCAATATTCATTAAGACAATTTAACAAAAATTTAATAATTAACAAAAAAAAAACTAAATGTTGGCATTGAGGTATTTATGGCTAATTGCTCAAGAACTTCATTAAGCAATCTCGGTTGTTTTCAAAAGAGTTCGCGTTTGTCTGATTCGGTCGTTTTTTTCGCATCATCTGAGAGCTAGTCGACATTTTCATCATCAAGCGAAATGTCTAGGTGTTGTGGATGGATTTTTCAAAATTTTCCCGAAATACTAAACTTTGAATTTTTGAACTTTTCCTGGATAATCTGTCATATTTTCGCAAATTTAGAACTATCAGGTTGCTTTGATTTTATAAATGCATCTGGCGATAAATATTGCATATTAAATAAATTCAATCTGACTCCAAATCAAAAGTTTTGAGTGGAATATTTTGATCTTTCCTGGAATTCGTAACTTGGACATATTTTTGCAAGTTTAGAAATCCCAGGAATAAATAATGCACATTAAAGAAATTTGAATTTTACTCAAATTCAAAAATTTTGATTTCATCGTAAACTCTTATAAGCCCGCCCACTATTTATTCGCGACGCACGTTTCTGCTGGAAATCCTCAATCAGCTAAATACTAATTTATTCCTAATCAGTCAATACAGTACAATTAATTTCCTTCTGCATCTGAACAATTGTGACCTACTACCTACGTGTAGAAACATTTCATAATAATTAATGTGCATTAATTTACTGACCTAGTGTCCATTCATGTATAATTTGCAAACGATTATTTAATTATTCTATTCAATCCAGATTATTCTGCGATTGAACACCTGGAATTCTCAACTTATGCAAATGGGAAATGAGAAAGATCTCAACTTTTTGTAAGAATAACGTTGTATAAATTCGAATTTAACACGTAAATTCAAAAATTTTGAGTTCATATCCTGGAATTCTTTACTTTTGCAAATTTCAGTTCAGGTTTTTTTTAGTTCAATTCTTGGAATTCTTATTTTGTGTCAAACTTTTGCAAATTCAGAAAACCTAGGCTTCTTTAGTTTTTTTTAATGAATAGTTAAGACCCTAACTTTTTTTAGGAGTAAAACGTTGAATATATTCGAATTTGATACAAATTTGGTCATTTCAATACCTGGAATTCTTGATTTTTGCAAATTTCAGTCCAGGTTTTTTAAATTTTTTAAATGCAAGAAGAGCTCAACTTTTTTTAAGGAATAAATGAATCCGAATTTGACACCAAATCAAAGATTTTGAGTTCAATTTCTGGAATTTTTACAAATTCAGAAAGTCCAGATCTCTTTTTTTTTAATGAATCGGAGCTCAACTTTTTTTGGGATTAAAACGTTTAATAAATTCGATTTTCACACAAATTCAGAAGTGTTGAGTTCAAGTCCTGAAATTACTAATTTTTCTTATTTTTAAAAATTCAGAAAACCCAGGTTTCTTTGGGTTTTCAACTTTTTTTAGGGGTAATACGTGGAATAGAATTCCTAGAATTCTAGGAGTTGAAAATCGCATTTATTCAACGTATTACCCCTAAAAAAAGTTGAAAACCCAAAGAAACCTGTATTTTCTGAATTTTTAAAAATAAGAAAAGTTAGTAATTTCAAGACTTGAACTCAAAACTTCTGAATTTGTGTGAAAATCGAATTTATTAAACGTTTTAATCTAGATAGAAAGCACGGGCATAATCTATCAAAAAAAGCTTGAAATAAAAATTAATTTCTTCTACACGGGTACTAATGTGTTACTTCATTGAACAAAAATGTCTATGAAATGAGCCTATAAAAGTGTGCATTGCTATTTAAAAAAATTCAATTATTTTTCGTTATTCATTTGTTTTCAGAAATAAAAATGCTGTCTTATTATGGGAAATAAAACAACTTTCATGTAGAACCCCCCCCCCCCTGGCAACACCGTTCACAAATTGTTTACGCTTCGGGACGCTTATGACAGCTGCTGGGGATGGATTATGAGATTGTCTTCTCCGTACCGCAGCGAACGTAGAATCGAGGGGTCTGGAGGTAGGGAATACCCCCAGCAACGAAAGAGTCGATAGAAATAGAACTAACGTCCATTGGTGGCATTCCATAGCTTATCTAAACTTAAAACTTGCAAGACCATGTCCGAAAAAATAAAAAAATCCGGCTCAAAATTTTTCTTGTAATTTTCTCATGACTTGAACTCGGTTTTTATGACCTAAACTCTATAACAGTTTTTTCAAAAATTCATATTGCATCGTTAACGTGTTAATTTATCACGTAATATTATACTAGGTCGACGAAAGCACTGTTGTTTTTATCATGCGATAGTGATAGTGAGCAGGACGGCCTGCGTTACATTGTATAGGTGAACGAATATGTAGCGGGGAGAATCTTTGCAGGTCTGGATCACAGAGAGCGCTTTTTATGCGTGAAGGTCGCATGCATTTTGTAGTTGGGTAGAAATGCTGTAAGAGGCTGGTCCATTATTTAAAAGTTCAAATTGGGAAAGGCGCCAGTATGTGTATTAATGGTGAAGTGCCAAATTATCTCGGTGATAAAACAAAATAAAAAGTGATAATAGCCGGCCCGTATGGCGCAGTTCAGTTAAAGCTGAAGTGTGGTGCTAAGGGTCGCTGGTTCGAATCCGGGTTCAAGCATGGATATTTGTAAATGTATAGTGGGTTGGGTTGGTAGAGCAGCCTTGGCTGAAACCCCGCCCACTCTAAAATAAAGGCAAAATAAAATAAACAATAAAATAAGTTGCACGGAGTGCAGAATTGAGTGCACCAAAAACCGAGTTCACCATAAATCTAAAACTTTCCATTTATTGATACACATTATTTTAAAAAGTGCAGCGTGTTTTATTTTGAGCTGGTGAGCTGTTTTGATTAACACTTGCCCTTGGTTATGAAAAAGGCATTTATGAGGGATAAGATTGAGAGACTTGAAGGGATCACCGGCGTTGGTTATCAACCCCCGAAATTAATAAGCAGGCGTCGTTAATTTCCAAACACCTAAGACCTAAGAGATAAGTGCATCCGGCAAGATTCCAGAACAAGGCACAGAATTCTTTACTGTTTCCGTTTTGTGCGAATTGTCGCTGAATTAGACTAAATTGCGGCAAATTTCATTGTGCGTACTAATGAACGCTTTATTTAATAATTTAGAATGGCTCGTCATATTTTTTACTAAGATAAATTAAATTATTTGGCCATTTTGGGTTTAGCTAGGAACTGTGGTCCGAAATTTGTTTAATTTTCGTAATAAATGTATTCAGTATACATAAGTTTCATTTTCCAAATTATTGGTTATGAATTATTAATGAGAGTATCAGTAATGGAAAAATGTATTGAATTTTTTTCTATTCTCAACCCTTTTTTATCTGAGCTAACATGGGAAGTAAAAGTACGGAATGTAGGTCTAAACGTACTAAAAACGAAGGGAGAAAAAGACGAAGTTTGCAAGAAGAATTTTATACATTGAACCGCACTACGAACCCGAAAAAAGTAGGGCACCCATTACACTTGTCACAACGTAGGTCAACCTTGTCAATCGTAGAGACACAAGAGACATTGTCAGATAGAAAAGACATTAACTTCAGGAAGAATGTTATAATACTTTATACTTTTCCGAATTATTGTATCAAGGAAATATATCTGAAGGAGTGTGAATAATGTGCAAAAGGACGAGCCGTGATGGAAGTGTAAGAAAAGGTGAAAAACGGAAGTGTAGATAAGGCCTGAAGTAAGGGAGAATATGTGAAATAAATGTTAGTGAAAGTGCGGATTAACTTTTATTAATTACAACGGCGGCACTTTGTTACATGAACCACCAATATTTCTCTCAACTAAGGATTTCTCTATCGTTATCAAGAGCCGAGTTATTATTTCGATTCACAAAAAATAATTACGCTCCCATTATTTAAGGAACGCACCTCATTATCCTTACTTGAAGAAATTGCTCTCTAAACTTCTGTTAATTCCTCGTAAATTAAAAAGAAAACGTGTAATTTCAACTCTTAAGATCAAATCAAATTAGACATTAACTTGAACAAAACTAGAACAATTGGTGGAAACGTTCCCAGCAATGTCCTGACCACCCTCCCAAAAATCCCAAAAATTTGAAATAACCGGCGCCATCTTAGATTTATTTATTTATTTATCGTCTCTCAAGTTTAGGTTTTCCTAGGTAAGAGTCCAATTTGTTCCGCCCCCTCGAGGTGGGTATATTTGGGGGTGCGTGCGAGCGCTACCGTTCGCAATTGCCCTGTTTGTCCAATGAACCTGGTTAATTACCCTCCGTGACTTGCGCCCCTCTATTCTATCTTTTCACCTTTAATTCAATTTAATTTTAGCCTTAATTCTAGGTATCAAGTATCAATTCTAGCACTTATTTTTACGTTTTTGTTCTGTTGGTTGGAGATTTCTACACTGTCCTGACCTCCTCATAATTTAATTAGATCCTCGCGCGTTATTTGTGTCTTGATAAAGACAACTTCCGCTTGTGCTTTGCCTCGATCCGCCTCGCGTTTCAAAGTGACGGATTTAAAAAGCACGTCTGCACTGGTTACCGGTCCGAAGTCGACCGGATAAACTCGTTGCATATTTAGGAGCAAAATTTTTCTTAAAGAATGTGTTCTATCCTTTGATCACATTGAAAATTGTTTTTCAAATTTTCAATAATTAAACCGTGGGAGTTGACGCACATATCCGCTCAAAACGAACACAAGGAAATGCGTTAAGGACTTTTTCCAACGAACATCCAGCCTACGGGAAATGCGTCTAATATTGGTTAATTACATCCGAACTTCCAGCCCTTCATTATAATACGCCTGTTGCGAGCAATGAAGCGAGAATATTCTCTTATTTCCAGGTTCGTGATAAGGTCCAATTGAAGGAAGACAATACGCTAATTAGATGAACGACCAATTAATACACTGACGAAACGTATTTCAATTAGTAGCAACGTATAAATCTCATTGCTATTCTCGTTTGAGCGTACAGACGTTCGATTAAAAAGCGACGCCCGTGGAAATAGATAAGCGAGCAAAAAGTTTCCAAAACAACTTAAAAGTTGTATAAGGTTACGAAATAAATGTGAAACACGACGAACAAAACCATCTATCTTAGCATCGATACTATCCTCATTTGCATCGCCTCCATGTTAGAATGTTACTGTGCGGATTGGCTTATACAGAAGTGTCAAACGTGTAAGACTAATCGGTATATTTCGCTGCCGCTACAGAAAATGATTTATTACAATTTACAAAACGTTTCGGGGCGATCTTTCATCTACGTAAACATAACATCAGCTCCTTTTACTTTAATGAAATTGTATTCCTACTTTGATCAAAGTAAAGTGCTTCAATACGATCAATAGTTACGTTTTTTTCAGTATACGTCATCGTAGGACACTATTTCGAGCATCTCGCTTTGATGATCTACATGGAAGAGAAGCGCTTATTTGACAATGGTACGTAAATAATTTCTTCAGCAGATTAACCAAGACAACAACCAGTTTGAACATTGGAAATGTTTATGCTTTCGTATACGGGTACTAAGTTTCGTTCAAAGCCAAAAGACAACGGTGTAGCATCAAGTGAGGGTTGTATCGTACTCGGTCGTGACCGGAAAAGTCGCAGATACTGTCATCTGTGTTAATAAGTGTTATTTATGTTTTATATATGGCGTTATACGGTTAGCATTTCCAATGTCTCAGATGGTTGTATGGATTGGGAAATCTGTGAATTTTTTTCAATTAATATATAACAATTTCAGAATGACCCTACATTTTCTTTGTTAAAAGAGATACAGAAAAATGTTATACACAAAAGTTTTTTATAACGCTTGTTGAATAATCGGCCATTTTCAAAATAAGTACACAGAATGTATTGTACAGGTGATCATTTTGTCGTTTCATTCTGAATACGATTTTTAAATAGGAAAATTTACGCATATACCGCTTCATAGCGAACCTGAACGAAAGTACGTCCGGCGATAACAAGCGAGAGCAAGAAACGTATTGCGGAAAGCGATCTCTTCGTACCTGAAAGTTTGGTTCCGTTCTGGTCACTGTTCTCTGTGATTAAGCTGTGATATATAGTAATTGTAACCTGTGATAGTGTTCGTCTTACATATTTTTTTCGGTTGACGAGTGTTAAAAACTTTGAATGTTTTATTTACACAATATACGTTATTGTTATTATTATTTTATTGTTTAAAGTCGAGCACGTGAAAAAATACCAAGTTTTCTATTGGTTTTTAGGGCACAACAGTCGAGATCATTCCGTTCAGAAATAAGTCCCTTTTCGGTTTTTCTCGTGGGCGAGATTGAAATTGCATTTCGCGTGCGGTTACGTACTACGTTAGGTACGCGAAATTTAGTTTTTAGAGAAGTTACGAGTGCGAGCCAGTACCAATTTTTCATTATTGTTGGTTTATTTTGCGTCAATACAAAAAGTTTTCGTTTTAATTTTAGGAATGACCACATTATAATATCGATGTGTGAGACAATTATTTAAAAGGTAATTCAAAAGAAAAACTCGTGAAAGAAGGATGAGGAAATTAAAGGTAAAACTTGAGCTTGAGCTCTAAAAATACATACGTAATGAGGCAGGAATACTACGTCATAATACCTCTATTGATTAACTGCAAAATGCTAATCCGTAAAAACGTTTTAATGGAGTCACCTAGACATCAAAGACAAAAAGAAACCACTCCAAAGATAAATATGGTAAAGCCTTTCAGCCTATTCAGGCAGACGCAAAGTCAGAAAGACAAATAACTCTAGAAGAGCCTCAAACGGCAAAAGAAAGAAGTAGGTAAAACAAACCTACCACACGAGAATAAAGAACTAAGATAACGAGAAATCTACTGCAGAAATAATTTACATCTAAACTACTGGATTACCTAGATGGCGTAAGGATATAAATAAGAACAAGAATACTAATTCTACACTACGAGCGAAAATAATTTAAATAAAAGTACAGCAAAGGTTACGCGGAAGCCATATCGGTAAGAAAATGGTGTTACCATTACTAAAACAAGCGGCATTTTCCAAGGAGAGATAAGATAAGATTACCAGAAGACACCCACGTCAATTGCTGTCAATTATTTTAAACTTTTTGATTTGTGTAAGTAGTGGTCAATTATTGCTATAAATTACATAAGTAATTTCATTTGAAGTAATTTTGATATTCCTAAAAGAATCGACCCGTGGAAATTACTTGCATGAAACAGATTTCGTGTTGTATTTATTGATAGTTAGCGAATCCCAAATGATTTCGTTATCTTGTTTAATTGAATGGAGAATTTGAATTTAAGTTCATTGCTACCATTGCTTTGGTTGGATTACAGAGGGGTGTGTATATTTTGAAGAGGAAAATCTACCAGTAGTTCATTATGTGGTAAAGATGAATGTTAGATAAGGATTCAATTTAGCATGGATACGTGATCTTTTTTTCTATTTCTTTTTATGAACCAAAGCAATATTTTACATCCAGGAACGTGTAAACAAAAATGGAAATGGATTGCCTTTGTTTTTATTAACATATTTCAATCAACTAAAGTCATATGCGTATTTATTGTACTTCAGGTTTTCAAAGGAGACAATGGGCCAAACTTGCACATGCACAAGCTACAGGGTATAAGGACATTTTAGATTACTGAGCTAGCCGTAGATAAAACAAAATTATCATTTTGAATTTCTTTGCCAGAGCCATAGAGGTTCAATTTTATTTTATGCAAGTTAGGCCTTCGACCTTTGTCAATATAACTAAGCCGTTACAGGGGTCAGGTAAAATATGAATATTTATTTTAATCTAAAAGGATAGTATTTTCAAAAATATAATACATCATGGATGATTTTAAAAAGATTCAAAAATTGTTCGATATTTTAAACATTTCAAAAATCAAAAAATATTTCAAAAACGTTTTTTTTAATCTTCTTCATTCAAATCTAAAGGGTGTTCTAATTTTAAAAAAATGCGATTAGGTTCGTGCGTTAATTAAACTTCTTATCACAAACGATCAGATTTGTCTTACTTTAAAACAACTAAATTGAATAAATTACGAAAGCGATAAAATTTAAATATTACGTAATTCCAAACAATTCTAAAAGGAACACTGAGAAACAAATTCAAATACAATCGACCAACTTTGTATGCTTATTTGTAGAAAATCTCCTAGATTTACCATTAATAAATTGAAATATCCCTCATATACAGGATGTCGGGTCATTATTTTTGGTGCTTAGACTCAAATAACGTCGTCATTATATTATGTTAAGCCAACAAAAAAGTCATTTTCTATCCACTATTTAATTTTATTTACAGGGTGTTTTCTGAAGTTACAAAATTTCAGACGTGTATATCTCAGTTTTTTAAATGTAACACCCTATATATTTTTGTGCCACACTTTAATCTCTAACTTTCATTAGTAATATCCGACAACTTATAGCGAGTATCGCAGTAGAAGCCATTAAGTCAATAAAAGACTAGTCCACCTGCGATAAGGAATGAAAGCCTTTCCTTGAAAAATGGTAAGCCCTCTAGACTCTTCGAGAACGTTCCGTGATTTTTCTAGAAACTTTCCGTTTGCTATACAGGCAAATTGAAGCGTGTTGAATGGCAGTTCCAACATCGATACCGAAGTGATTATTAGTGAACTGTGCGCTCGTATGTAATTAATTTATAAATTTGTGTACAAGTGAGTGATTAATAATAGCTGTTATAAATCAATCAAAAATAAAAAAAAATTAATTTTCATATTTTTCAATCTATTTTTTAAGATCTCACTTTTTCAGGGAACATTTTTTAAATATAATTCGAATTTGCTTTGAAACAATAGCTTTTTCGTTGGGTTTACGTGTATTAAAAAATACGTAACGTTCCATAGAATTTTAAGTTGAAACCAACTACAGGGTGTTCTATTTAAAAAAAAATCTTTTTGGTCCCTATGCTCGCGTTCTGTGTAATTCAAAATATGTAGAATATTCTACCATATTGTCATCATACAACAAAAATCTCAAATCCTCCCTTAAAGCCACAATATAGCACTCTGCGCAATCGGCCCCTGTACAGAAAAGGGCGAGTTATAAAATTTAAAAACTATTTCCATTACAAGATTTAACTAAAAGAAAAGGAACAGCCACCTCTTACATGTTCAATATAATAGAATTTAGTGTATTCAGCTCTGTACGATATTCATACGAGCCATGCCAGAGGCAAGTCGCACATAACCAGTTTTCTCAATTTTAGTGTTAAAAAGGTTACCTGAAAATGAATTTTCTACCTGCACCCCTTTCCTACTCCCTGAAGAGTTACTGTAGATCGTAACAAGAGACGCTACTCAATACAGGGTGTACTTTTTTTCCGGCCCATATAAGTAATAAGAATATCAAGTTGGTGATGGTTTCTCAAAGACGAAACGTCACAGGAAAAATATGTAGGCGCCATCTTGTAGAGCTTACATAAAGTTCCTATAAGGAAGTGTCATTTGTTTTCTGGACCAGAACCAGAAAAAAATGTAGACGAATATGGTTAATTTCGGTTTTTTTCGAATATCTTCGGAACTGATCGAAATTTCCGAATTTTTAAAGCAATATTAATTTATTTAAGTTCTAAAAATTTTTCGAAATTGTTCTTCAGGAGAATACTTCGTAATTGGTATCGATTTGGACGAATACGACCAAACGGCGCCGACCAAATATCTTCGCGACTTTCTACGAGGTGAAAAAAATTTGGTCGCGCAGCGGGCGTACCAAAACTACCTCGGCGTAATACCGTCAAGTCCCGTCGGATTCAAGAATTTCACCGCGCTCGTAAACACGTACATGGAAAAACCCCCCTTTAACTTCCCCAACCCTCTGAACTTCTTTGGATTGGGTAAAATGGTAAGACCCCTCCGCTTGCGAGATGCGCGCGGTTAATTCGCTCTAGCGTAGATCAGAGCCGAAGCGGCGTTCTTGTACGACGCGGTTCACCTCTACGCGAAATCGCTGTTGCACGTGCTCAGTGTGGGGGGAGATCCAAGAGACGGGCGCAAAATCATCGACAGCTTAAAGCGGCTGCACTACAAGAGCGCAATGGGGTAAGTTCGCGCAGCTCAGTTTTCAGGTGTGAGAACAATCTTGCAGTTACATGGTTTACATTGACGAAAATGGAGACGCCGGTGGGAACTACACTTTAATCGCACGAAAACACTTGAAAAATCACTGTGAGGAATACGGCCTTTTTCCTATTGGCACCTTCGGGCTTGAAGATCCCAAAAGTGGTTTACCGGTAAGGAAGGCGCTCCTCATTCGCGTACTGAAATGCCCTTTCAGAGCCTGCGAATGTTTGAAAACTTCAACTGGGTCGGAGGACGGCCGCCGGTAGCGTTGCCCCAGTGTGGTTTCCGTGGGGAGCACTGCGTGTGTAGGTACACTTCCAAAATCGTCTGACATCTGCACCCGGTTTGTTTCAGCGAATACAGTTGAAATAACTTTTGGAGTGGCGGGCGGTGTCTGTCTAATAATTCTGATCTCTGCCGCAATCTTGTACCGCAACTGGAGGTACGAGCAGGAGCTCGACAGTCTACTGTGGAAGATCGACTACAAGGACATCGAGTTGAAAATTAACAATAACGAGGATAAACCCGTACAGGTTTGTGCACATTCTTTCGGTTTTAAGGAATTCGTTTTTGAACGTTTCAGAACAGTTATCCCTACGTGCGCACCAGTCAAGTTTCTTTGAGCTCCAACACCGATCCCGAGTTTCGATACTCTTCGCTTTTTACCCAAGTGGCTTTTTATAAGGGACGAATGTTGGCGATTAAACGGATCAATAAACGTAGCATTGATATCACTCGAGAGATGAAGAAGGAGCTCAAGATGGTAAGCATAATCAAGAGCTCTAATTATGCTTGGATGTAAAACAACAATTAATTCCTTTTGCTTTTTACTCTTATGATTGACTTATCACTTCACTTCTTGAATATATGTTGAACTGTTTCAAAAAAAGTTATATTGGTTTAGGTTGGTTTTGGATCGCAGGAAATTTCTGCCCTAATACCAGTCCGCGTTTCCGTGGTCAATCGGTGCCGAGTACTGCCCTTTTTGTTTTCGCTCGTAATAGACCGTAGTCTCAGGCAACCAAAAAGAAGTGGGACACTCTCTCTTACACTCACAATCACCAGCCCTTTTTATGTGACGTCTAAGTAATTAATTTTTGGTGAAAAAAGTGTTTTTCCATACATATCAAAGTGTGAAAATAATTATCAACGCGCATCGGCCGGTTTAGCCATTTCTAGAAGATTTCGTTGTTCGTTGTCAACACGTATTTTTTTAAGAATTTCCCGTTAAGATCGAAAATTGCCATGAAAAGGATGTCAAGATTGGAAGGAGGCCTTCGTTGTCACTATCATGCTTTCGTAGTTACACTTTTCCGTCAATTGTGGAAAATTGAGCACCTTATCTGCATGTTCATTATGACGTTACAGGCACACTAGCTGTTTCAAGATCATGTTAGTTTGTTTACATGTTATATATACTTAAATTCGGATTGCGTTTCTCTGAACAATTGCTTATGTCGTTACGCGTAAGACTTGGGGGTAATTTACAATTAATTGTATTATTAGAATATTCGTTCTAATTGTGTATTAAATTTAACAGATTTTTCAATTGCGATTCGAATTGTTTACATTGTAACCTATAACGTTTGCATCATAAATAAAGCATTTTACAGTATTTATTGATTTGAAGACATAATTCAGGTAACGTATCGATTTAAATTTGATGGGATATTTAAAATCAACCCAAATTAAATGTTGCATGTACCAATATCATCTTATTCAATTACCACGTACATAAAAATATTTATACGGCAAATCGAAAAAGGTAAGTTTTATACGAGTTAATAACCTAAAGGAGCAACCACAACTCAACGAGTCAAGCATCCTTCAAGCAATTGCATTTCACATTCGTCATACTTTTTTTTCATTAGTCTCCCTGTTCAGACAATCATCGGGTATTTTTTGTGTCTCCTTCGTTAATATTTGTTTCCCTTCCCTAACTCTTCAAGGATCCACCACATCTCCTGCACGTTTCTTTCTGGCCTTCTTCAGCCCGCGTTTACATCCCCCCCCCCCTAATCTTCATGGGCCTTTCTTCTTTTTTTCGTGCTTTCTTCGTGGAAATTCACGCATTTCTCGCGACCTCTTTACATCTCCGCGCCTTCGACTCCCCCGCTCCAAAATTGTTTTACATTTCCGTTACGCCTTGTTTACATCCCTCTCACACCTTCTACAGATATCGATCAGGTCTCCTTCAGGATTTCATTAACATTCGATTACATCAACTTCTTTCCCTCAGTCACGCTTGGTTGAAACCTCCCTTACATCCTTTTCACGGTTACTCCACATTGCCTTCCTCACGATGCGTACGAGGGCTTAAGGAGTGAGTGACCTTGTTTATGGTGCAAGGTAGTGGCCTGGAATTTCTCCGGCGAAAAAACCCCGATCACATGCTCGACCGTTATGATTATTGCAGTGTGATTAATTCAATGGTTAGATTGTAACAGGTGGTCGTTTTAGGCTTTAAAGATTTTTAGTTAAATTTATAAATTTGCCGGTATAGGACATTTTATACATGTATCGCTTCATAATGAAAGAGAACAGAATTTATATTCGAGAAATAAAGTGCGTTCAGAAAAGGGCGAGTGTTAAAGCAGATAAAAGTCGAAACGTTACAGTGTTGCCGGCTCCAGAACTTTCAATCGGCGAATATGCTATGAAAAATCTGGTGGGAGAGCGGTATTCTTACTGAAACTTTCGAAGAGAACCTATGCAGGTCGAGCGCTGCATTTTCTCGATCGCGTAAGGGATTCGTAGGCGTACCTTCGAGACAAAACTACGTAAACACAACCATTTTAGATCGTGTAACAATTGTTTCTTCATCGGAAAGCTTCACAAGTTCGTATAATCGAGGTATGTGAAAAGATTTCTCAGCCCCGTAGTCGTATGTGATAGTATATAGAGAAACTGTTTCATTCAAGTGAAAAACGTACCGCAAGTTTCGCAAAATTGATCCCTTTACGAGTTAACTAATATACAGTGGCGTATTTAAGAAAAAAGGGGAATTACTTGGTGTAGTTGCTGGGATTATTGCGTAGCGTTATCGTATTAATACGTACATTTTTCGTAGCGGTGCATATTTGGATTATTGTTTTTGTTCTTAAATAAATTTTTACCACGAAAGTGCTAGGGTCCAAGATACAAAGCATTTCTGTTGTGTTATTTTTTGGAGTGGCAAGTTACGTTAAAGAAACAGTTTAGTAATTAACGTTCTGCGCTTAATTTATTTATACGTAATGCTAATAACATATTACATAAAACGGCAACCGGTAAAAAGGTTAAAGACAATTAATTCGTGCTTATGTTTCTTATTAATAAATTATAAGGGTAATTTTGGACATTCCATACGTAAATAAACAAAATTGGAACTTATAAGGTGTGAGGAACCTGAAGCACGGGTTTATCCCGGTTTCAAATTCGACAACCATCTTTTTTTCAAATCCGCCACTAGCAACACCGGATGACCAACTCAGTCTTTTATCTGCGAGTGATTAGAAAATTGGTTCTACATTTTTACAACGACGATTTTTCTATTTTAGATGCGAGATCTTCACCACGACAACCTGAACGGATTTATCGGCGCTTGCACCGACCCCCCTAACATATGCATCCTGACCGAGTACTGCACGCGCGGAAGTCTCAAGGTAATTTCGGTTTGCAAAGCGGACCGCATTACCAACACTATTTTCAGGACATTCTCGAAAATGAAGACGTTAAGCTGGACAGCATGTTCATCGCCTCGCTCGTTGAAGACATCCTAAGGGTAAGTGCAAAACTCCCCTCCAGAATGTAGGCACGCGATGCTTTTAGGGCATGATATTTCTACACGAATCCGTCGTGAGGTTCCACGGTAACCTGCACAGCGCAAACTGCCTCGTCGACTCCAGGTGGGTGGTGAAGCTAACGGATTTTGGACTGCACGAGTTTAAGAAGAACGAGGAGAAGCCGACGGCGCAAGAGGCAAACGAGGTTATTGAAAAGTACACGCGTGCGTTTCTACGTTACGGGTAAAACTAGTACTAATGGACACTTTTGCAGGACTCTTGTACCGAGCACCCGAGCTGTTAAGGAAGGAAAACGGCACGCAAAAGGGCGACGTTTACTCTTTTGGCATTATCCTCTACGAGCTCCATGGTCGCAAAGGTCCCTATGGAGATTGCGCACTGTCGGCTTCGGAAATTTTGCATAGGATTGCGCAATGCGGTTCGTCGCTTAGGTGATAACGCCCCCTACAGTAAGACGCTGACGCATTTATTTTAGACCATCTCTAGACTGCCTAGAAAATACAGTTGACGCTGTTAAGGAATGCCTACGAGAGTGCTGGAGTGAGAATCCCGACGAAAGGCCCGACTTCAAGAGTTTACGCACTAAACTTCGACCATTGCGGAAGGGAATGTAAGCCTAACTTTTCTCTAAAAGATCCTTAAGTTGTTTCCACTGGCTTTCTACAAATGAAAATGTGAGTAGTGCCGGACTCAGAGCGTAACAAACCCAGCTCTTTCAGCTCTTTCTTTTTGAGCCACAGCTTGTACTTGAGATCATTCTCGAGCAGACGTAGATGGGTATCGGTTTCGCGCTGCTTCTCACTTTCCCTTTCGGCTTCGAGCTTCAGACGAGCCTGCTCCGCCTTTAGAGCCGCCTTCTTTTGCAACCACTCGTCGTAACATCTCCGAGCTTCTTGCAACCTCAACTCCTGATCCATGCACTGCCTCTCGCGGATGTTCGTTTCGATCCTCTTCGCTACCATCTTCGAGAACGTCGTGCTACCGTCATCTTTGCTCACTCTCATGTCCGATTTCCTACTCTTGGGAATTTTGGTTTCCGATTCGATGTAAATTGCGCCGTTCAAAAACTTGCGCACATTTGCCTCCCTTATGTTTCCCAAGGAGGTGGACTTCCTTCTGATCGGAATCGTTATTGGCTCACCTTGCATAACAATTTTTTATAAAAAATATAAACTGACAACGTCAAAGCCTTTTGTTTAGACACTCACTTTAAAAGTATCGCGAGGATAAAAAATAGAGTGCGTTTCTTTCCAACTCATTACGTAGCCATCATCAAACATTGCAGACGACATTTTGTATTTATAGTGGAGAGAAATACCAGCGACACCCTACGTCGACGGGGAGTATTTACGAATAAACACAGAATTCCTTTACTTCATTGGAGTTTGTATTTCTCTAGTATTATTTTTCCTTTTAGAATTGTTTGTAATTTTGTATTGTTCATCGGCGTTATTTAATCTAATTATCATTGGTGCATTATTTCTAAATAGCGAAGGAAGGAGATTACTCTATGATGGAAGTGGTGCTCCCTTAAATACGTGAGACTAGGTACAATGGGGGGCTGCTGTTATTAGTTCGCGACGGTGAAAAGAGCGTCTAATTTTGTAAACGCAAAGTTACGGGAGTTTCGACTTTTTAATCTTGTGTGTAAAGGAATTTCAGGATGTCAGCCATTTTGTTGCGGTAAATTTGAATTTGAGTGGGAGATTTGAATTTTTAAATTAACGGATGTCTGCCATTTTGTTGCGGTAAATTTGCATTTGTAATTTTATATCTCGTCTCGAGGGTATTGCGAAAGATGTTATTCCTTTGACTTCTTTTTTAAATAAACAAGTTACTTAAGATTCGTCGCCCATAAAATTTTTTATTTAAATGAGTCACGACAATGTGTGACAGCTAACGGAGACTACAATGACCAATTTACAACAATGGTGACAACCGGGTATCTTGTTTTTGATTGGTCGTTGGTTCCGGCCGCCATATTGTGCTTTAGAGTTTAGCTTTAGGGTATAGGAATTTACACGTTTTTTTTGTGTTTTTGCAAAATTCTGTAAATAAAGTATAGTTTTGCCCGAATTTCTTGATAAAATTAAGTAAAATTTTATTTATTTTTATTATTATAATAATAATTTCAAATCATTTTTTTATCTTGTTGATAATTTTAATTCCATTCCGCCATTTAAAATTATCAGAGATCAAATTAAATGGCGCCGTGCGCTGCCTTTCTCTCTTTTTCCCTACAAAACAGCGTATTTCCATCTCGCTATGACTTGCAAAGGTGGCCATTTAAAATTATCTAAGATAATCGTAAATGGCGGAAGAATTAAATTTATCTTGTTGATAATTTAAATTTGGCTATTTAAAATCATCAACAAGATACAAAAATGATTTAAAACTATTATTAGATAAAAATAATTATTTTATTTCATCAAATATGAATTATTATTAAAAAAATGAATATTTTTTATCTTGTAGATAATTTTATTTTGCCTATTTAAAATTATCTTAATGATAAAGTTTAAACAAACTATTTAAATTTATCTTGTAGATAAGTATAAATAGAAGAATTAAAATTATCTACAAGATAAAAAATATTCATTTTTATTATCTTGTTGATAAAAATAATTCATATTTGATTTGGATTTGATTTTTATCATAATGATAATTTTAAATCATTTTTTATCTTGTTGATAATTTTAAATAGCAAAATTTAAATTATCAACAAGATAAATTTAATTTGTTCGCTATTTACGATTATCTTACATAATTTTAAATGGCCACCTTTACAAGTCATAGCGAGATGGAAATACGATGTTTTATAGCGAAAAGGGAGAAAGGCAGCGCACGGCGCCATTTAATTTTATCTCAGATAATTTTAAATGGCGGAATGGAATTAAAATTATCAACAAGATAAAAATAATTATTTTTTCATTATCAACAAAATAAAAAAAATGATTTGAAATTATTATTAAGATAATAGAAATTCGGGTAATAATTTACTTTAAGATTATAGTATTTTTGCACATTAAATGTTAAAACGGCGTTCCATAATTGTGAGTATAAATACACTTGAATTTTAAATTTTAACATTTATTGCTGAAACACAACGCATATTGCTTTTACTGAATGAAAGTAGCAGTTTTTATGGTACATTGTCCCTATGCTGCTTTGTTAAAGTTAGCCCCAATATGGCGGATGGGGGGGCGATTATGATAAGTTGTCGCCGCTGTCCTAATACAGTCACTGTAATGGAGACCGTTACTATACGATGGTGATTATTTATTTATTTCGAGGCAATTGACATTCAGCAGTTACGGTTTCAGCAAGATGGCGCAACGTATCACACCTCCACTGAAACAATCGCGTTGCTACGTGAGAAATTCCCGGATCGCCTTATCTCCTTTTTCGTGGTCACCAAGGTCGTGAGATTTAAACACCATACGATTTATCTTTTTGGGATAATCTCAATTATTAGTTTACGTCTATACCGCCGAAATATCTCTGAATTAGAGGAAAAAATTTGAATTTTGGTATGCGAGTGGAGTAGAGGGGGGTCATATGCAAGATGATATTTTCCATCCCTAAAATGGGAACGTTTGTTTGACAAGTTTGTCTTCTTCAAATGTGACCACGTAAGCTAGAACAGAGCTCTATCGCGGCTCTACACGTAATGCTTTCAAAAAATCTCTCCACATTAATCCCTACCTATCTGTTTTGAATTAATTAACGCCTCTTTCAAAATGGCGCCCAGTAAATGAACCATTTTTTTTTAGCAAATCGAATTCGTTTTGTTTTTTTGATATATTGCACTCCTATTACTGATCTCATTCTGATTTTGCGTTTTTAAACACATACAATTAATTAAGGTCATCTGAACGCTGAAAGGCAGAGAGATTGGAGTGAACGATTTCCGGAACTCGTTACCAGATCACTGCGTTATAGAATTGAATTACGCTGAAAAAATCGCTAATTAGGAAACTACGAACTTCCTCACATCTGAATTGACCAAATTTTTGAAATTATCAAGCATATAATTTGACCGCGCTGTATACTCTATCAGACTATAACATTCGCATTCAATACAAGAAATATTTGAGGCTCCTCAGGTTCAAAAAAATTTCCTATACGTCTTAGTTCTAGTAACTTCGCGCCAAGTTGTTGACACCCTTACAAAAATACAAATAATTGCACTTTGTGCTCTAATATTTCAACGCAAATTGAACCAAAAATCAATTTAAGGAAACCCAACATATTTGACAACATGATGACGATGATGGAAAAGTACGCCAACAACTTAGAGCAGCTCGTCGACGAACGAACTGACCAACTGCAGGAGGAAAAGAAGAAGACAGGTGAGCGCGGCACTAATTTCGCCTTTTCATTCGTCCTTCCTCAGATGCGTTACTCCACGAGATGCTGCCGAAACCGGTGGCGGAACAGCTGAAGCGCGGCCACAAGGTCGAAGCCGAAAGTTTCGAATGCGTCACGATTTTCTTCAGCGATATTGTCGGTTTTACGGCGACCTCCGCCGAAAGCACCCCCTTGGAGATTGTGAACTTCCTCAACGATCTCTACACATGCTTCGATTCCATTATTGAAAACTATGACGTTTACAAAGTGGAAACCATCGGGGATGCTTACATGGTGGTAGGTGTCGGGTGAGTGTTGGCCAAAATTTAAAGTACTGCTGCAGGTTAGCGGTCTTCCGATACTGAACGGAAGGAAGCACGCCGCGGAAATTGCGACGATGTCATTAGACTTACTGTCCAAAGTAAAAAACTTCAGCATACGCCACCGGCCTGGAACAAAGTTGTTGTTGCGAATTGGAATACACTCAGGTCCCGTGTGTGCTGGTGTTGTAGGGCTGAAGATGCCAAGGTACTGCTTATTTGGGGACACGGTGAACACAGCCAGTCGCATGGAGTCAACCGGCTTGCGTGAGTAATCTCCGTTGCATCCACTAAACTCAAAGTCAAATGTTTCAGCCCTCAAAATTCACTGCAGCCAGCAAACAATGGAGCTCCTGTCGATGTTGGGTGGATATTACTTGATCCCAAGAGGCGAAGTCTCCATTAAAGGCAAAGGAAACCAACCGACCTATTGGCTACTGGGCGAAGACCCAGTAAGCGGCAAGCTAAGAAAATTTGAACGTGAAAGGCGACTGAACAACGGTATCGGTCCCAAAAGTTCCCTCAAGTATAAACACGGAATAATTAAAAGCCCAGTCGATCGCTGCTTTAGCCTGGAGTCGCCCAAAAAATTACGCTTCGCCAGCATAAGTAATCTACAAAGGAAAACCCTAGACGTAATTGAGGACAGCAGCCCTCACAAGAAATCGGCATCATCACTTATCGGAAACTCGGTGGAGGGTCAAGAGATAATGATGTCCAGTCTCTCCTGCCCGTGCATCGAAAACCTAGCAAACTCGTCGATTATGTTAGCCCAAACGCACTTCCCCGCCCTTCTCTCCGACGAGAGCGACCCCTATCGCAGCGTGCCTATCTTATGTCAAAATTTAATGGTAACCAACGTGCCGACGCAGGTTATATCTGCGCCGGTGAGCCCATTCGGCAAAATCGTGCGGGAAGAAGTGTTCCCTTGGACCGACTCCACCCCACTGCTGAAAATTACCAAGGCTGATCATTGTTAGAAAATGTAATTGGTAAATTTAATAAATGTTTGTAATTTTGTGTTATTTAATCAAGTCATCTGTCCAACTGTCATTACCGTTGTGAAAACCGCGCCGGAATGTTCAAAAAATGAGCACGGAAAGTATTGCGAATGTCAGAACGTTTATGAATGGGGCAGTTTCGATTGAATCGACCACAACTCTGACCGCAAACGAGAAACCAAGAAAGCGAATTAGCTGCTCATATTCAAACGCGCAGCTTTGCGAAAATGCGGACGCGTCCAGCTTTAGTAGCGAATCTTCTCTCTTGGACGAACGTCCCTCAACCACCCCGTCGAAATCACTTGCGTCAACTCCAAACCTCCTCAACGGCATGGGACTGGAACAATTGAAATCGCTCAAGGCGAAACGGGCAGAGGAGAAGAAGCGCGAAGAAAATCGCATACGGTTAGAGAAGCAGAGGCAAAATTTTAAGCGATGGTTGGCCAACAAAAAGGACGAGGAGGAAAAGGAACGAATCAGCAAGGAAAAGATGACCAAGCACCAAAGCGAAAAGGATTACGAAAAGCAACGTCGGCAGAAGGAGGCCGAACTGAAATACAAATTGTGGTGCAAACGGAAAGAACAGGAGGAACTAGGTAAGGCGATCATCTAACAAGGCAAAGATCTCAGAGGAATCGTAGAAAAGAAATTAAAGGCGAAGATCGACGAGATAAAAAGCAGCGAAGATCATGACCGGCGAACGGAAAGGAATCAAACTGCTTACCAGAATTGGTTAAAAAATTCCGTATACAAACCCATGCCGATCCCGCTAAACAGAGGGCTTGAAAGTATGACTTTGGGACTTTCATCGGTAATTTCATCTGTTTTTTAGCTCTGCGATCTTCGGCGTCGGTCACGTATATTAATCCCATACCCTGGCAGCCCAATATTGATGAGAGTTGTCTAAATTCACAGAAATAAAATGCTGCGGCAAACAAATCTTTTTTCTTATGCTAAAGGATAGAACTTTTACCATCCGCAGTTTAGTATGGGAGGTATTTCATTTAGTTTAGGTAGGTAAGAACGAATCAATACTTAAAGATGGCCGTTTTCATTAATAAGACGCAATTTTGTGAGTGTTAATTAATTGAAGCAGAATAGGTAGGGATGAATCTGGGGAAAAATTTTGAAGGCATTACGGATTGAGCAACTGGAGAGTTCGTGAGATTCTTGCAGGTAAGTTAGAAATTAATTTCTCTGTGGCAGACAAGGAGGGATTGATCATCTTGCTAGGAACTTGTTACAAGCAAAAAGTTTTTTGTATTATAGTGCCTTTATCATCACTAGTAACCAAATTAATAAAATATTTCTTTCAATATTAGTAAAAATCTGTTCCCCGTTTGGGAATTTAAAAGAGTTAAATTCCAAATTTCGATTAGTGATATCTAATGTAGCTAATAAATACCCCTGAGTTCAAGTCGAACTTTCAAAATTTAAAGAAAATCCCGAATCCATTGGATGCAGAATTTCCGGAGATCCAACTTGCTGTTCTCTAAGCTCGACGTCAGTATTTCCACCGAATGGGCAAAGGGCTGAATCGTAAGGAAAGCGCCATCTCTAAAGAATCGTCGTATGGATGTTTTTATGTCTAAAAATAGAGGATTGACCTCTTTAAAGGAAATTGTCCTAATCTGGTTGATAGTAAACGTAAAATTTAGTTTTTTTTAAAGAAAGGACCAATCAATCAATTGGAAAATTGAAGCCGGTACATATTGCATAAATTTGTAACTTATGAACGCATTTATTTGAAATATTTCATAGTTAAAATCGGAATTGTTTCATTTCACCTTTGTTATTTGCAATTTGTAAGAAATTTTTCTGTGCCTTGATGTTTACCAGTTTTAGTGATCGCTCTGTAAATGCACACCCGGTATCTAGAAGCGTTGTAAGTTAGGCGCTTCGTTACGAAAAGCATAGTGCTGAAAATATTTCTGTTGGTTCTAGGAGTTGAAGATGGAAGGTAACAGGTAATTGATTTAATTTCTAGAGTTGTACTTCGTAAATAAAAGCTGCAATTATTTCGCCGTTTGCAACCGTTCCCGTCGAGATATTTCAATTATTTTTGTTAGGTCCGAAAGCTCTTGCCATTTAGAAGACAAATTAATATTTTAGAATTTCAGCCGCGGTAAGTCATTATTAGGAGGTTTTTGTTTCCTAGGTAATTTAAAACGAGCTTTAAAACTGCAAGGCCATGCAGGTTTACGCCGATATCAGTTTTGATAAGCGACCTTTATGCCGGCGCAAAGAATTCCAAATAACAATGATTAATGGACTACCGACTTTGGAAAGTTCAATCCGGCCAATCAAGTAAGTGCAATTATCAGTAGCTAAAGAAATGTGTAAACGTTATCAAAATCAGTCGTGTGAGTTGTCTCTGAATGCGCCCTAATTTTTCCAGATGTTTGTCAGTTGTCTCCGATTTTTATGATGACCAGAAGCCGAGAAATAAAAGAAATGTAGATGACCGAATCGGTCGGGAAAACCATCGTTCCCTCCATGGAATAGACGAATTTTATAAAACGAAAAGCCGTTGTTTAGAGGGGAGGGTTTTCTGGTTTTTGCACTTTCGCAAGCTAAGTTTTGTAAGTACCGTGAGCCTTTCCGTATATTTATTTTACCCAAAATCGTCATGAAACCTTCATTTTCATGCCTACTTTATATAAGAAAATTTCAGTTTCCATGAAAGAGGCAGACCAGACTGCTTCTCCTCTCGCCTGTCACTTTACCGGACCGCACCTGTCACATTCCCGGCTCATTCCTAAGTGTCTATAATGACTCCTGTAATCACCGACAGATTACATTAATCAAAAAATCTATATGAACATTGAAATTTTACATTAAAATACGATTTGGAATAAAATCTAATGCAAAACTCGTTAGAAAAATGACGCTAATTGACTCGGAAATTAGAATACTCATTTTCCGAGGGGCCTCGTACTTCAATATTTCCTCGCCCGTAATGTGTAATTTTGTGACTTTTATGTAAAGAACTATTCATACCGTATGTTTCCTTTAACATTAAGTTTACCGTACCTTATCTTTAGCTTTTTCTTGCGCAGTAATTTTTACCGCTCCGTTTAATTACAAGGTAAATTTTTTTGCTACTTTGGGTTTCATTAATTATAAGGGAGGAATATTATTTCGCTTTCCTGAATTTGCTTCTCCGTAGATACCGCTAATTTGTGTTTTGTTGCTTTCGTTTCCGCTTAAGAGAAATTGCTGTGCGCTTTAATTTTGTTTTAGCATTCAACAGTAGCCGGCCACTGCTTACCCTTTAGAATTTCTGGAGCAAAAAGTTATTAGGTTTTTCTGGTATTTCTGGTAGTTTGAAAAATGTTATAAAATGTCTCAGGTAGTTAGTCTATACAGGGTGAGTTTTTTTTTCATTTTCACATGAAGATCTCGTAAACCGGAAGAAATACAGGGTCGCTTAAATGGGCAACGTTATGTAGAATTTTATTTTCCGTTTCAAAGTTTATTGTAACTCTACAGATAAGTACCGAAGTTATGGTAAAAAAAAAACAAAAAAATGTTACTTCGAAAAAGCGACGACGTTAATTTATTCTCAAAAAAGAAACCCTTAAGATTTTTAGCGCATTTTTTAAGACCTACTTCTACGGTTTTCAACTACTTTTAGGGGAATGGTCCTACAGTCCTGGAATGTTGTGCAATATGTAGCCTACGTTTTTCGAAATTTTTTTGGAGAGAAACTACATCGCGTAGGCGGCTAAGTTTTGGATTGAGACATAGATTAAGACCTCTTCTACAGTCACATAATTTTTTTAGGTACTTTATCAAAAAAATAAAATTTTTGATTGACTTTCGCCAAATGTCATATTTTTTAAAAATTTCAAATGGCACCACCCTAAACAAATGACACCTCTGGGTAACCAAAACTACAAATTTTCCACTGATATAAACAAAACCACACATTCCATAGGAAAATTTCAGAGAAAAAGCTAAACGTCAATTAGTAAAAAAAAGTTCCTTTCCAAACCCAAGTGTGCCATGATGAAACAAAAGATGTTCAATTGCCACAATTATCAGTAAAGTACCGGCAGTGTAACATTGTTTTTTAATAAACAATGCGAAAATGTTCCAAACTCAAGGAGAAATGGTTGATGGTATTAATTATTGGAGAATGTTACCGCAATTATTTATTAGGGGTATAACATGTTACATAAAAAAATAAGTATTTTTTAAGTAGATTCCAAATCAGTAAAAAAATATAGTGTTCCATTTAAAAAATGCAAGTTTGATACGCCACTGGAATACAGCACTCCCATTGTGATCAAAAATATTTTAAAATATGGCGACGGTAATTGTGTACAATTTTACCCTAAGATTTTTTTCGGTATCTTTTATGGTAAATGAGTTATGATCCGATGGATCTTAGGTGCTACACCCTGTATACGCTTAAATACATCTTGGTTCATGTTCCTAGGCAACATTTCCAGTCTTGTAAACATTTTTTGATCTCGCCGTGTGTGCGAGGTAAGGAAACCGAGCGTACGTAAAGAAAACGAGATTTCCCAAAAGCGGTACGAAGTTCGTGGAGTCTGCCAGTATGTCAATACTATTTTGTGTATTTATTTGCCATTTAAGTAGTCGAAGGCGCAAGACATCAGTTTTGGAATTTTCAGGTAAAAAGAGATAAGTCCATTTTTTTAGGAAAATTGTATTTTAGTAAATGTGAGCTAGCCGTGGATACATTTTTCGGAAAAGGAATCTAACAGTACCGTAAACAGTCAAAATTTAAATCGGTGATTGCCTCACCCTAAAATGTAACCCTTGTTGCAGACGAAGGTGACTGAATCAACCCAATCTCTAAAATTCAATTAGATCAGAAACAAAAGAGGAAACACCCTGTATCACTAAAGCAAACTTTCTCATTGTCAAAGACTTCTCCAATTTATTTTTCTACGACTCATGAAACTTTAAGCATGCTTATGAGGAATTTTAAAAATTAATTATAGATAACAATGTTGATAAAAAATCAATGTAGAGGTTAACAAATGACATCTAATCAACTAAAAATATACAGGGTGTTTCATTTTGCAAAAAGTTACAACCGTAAAAATGGAACACTTGTACCTCAGAAAAGAAATTTCTTGCTCTGAGCTCTGAATATATTTAAACATATAGGTAATTTCTATAGATGGGCAACAATCTATAGTCTCCATTTGCACAAAACGTTTATTTGTATATTTAACGAAACCATGATTGCCATCTCAAAGCGGTAGCTAATAGAAATGGCGGTCAATCAAAGATGGCGGATGTTGAGTTTTGTAAAATTAACTACATCTCTGGAAGTATTGATCCAATTTTATTATTCTTTTTTTTTTAATGAAAGCTCTTTATATGTGGTATACATATTGTTATAAGTACTTTTTCGATAAAATCAACTGTTGTAATTTAGAAAAATGTTTTTTTAAAATTTTTTTCCGAATTTTCTATACTGTCTGTATTAATACACAATACAAAATTATATGTTGCATAATTTCTAATGAAAAAGGAATTACGAGAAACACTAGCAATAAGATGTTCCTCTAAGTTTTCTGCACGAAATGATTGCCTCCTGTCGCTAAGAATTAATTTATAAGCACTAAGCAGAGAAACTTCTCTCTACATCAACAAAAGTAATAGGTGCATTAGAAAACGACAAACTATTGGGAGCAATTTCTAAACCTTCCACAATATCACCTGTTGTGATTACATTTAAACTTATGCGATTATATAATTTAATTGGCTAAAATAGCATGTGTATAAAAACAATTAATGAATAACTTCAATATAAATAAAACTTGTCTTGTCATACAATTACTTTTAAACGTTTAATTCCTACAAATACAATAAATTGGCGACGAGGATTATTAGAAACGACGACCTACAATGACTACAAGCATAATTTTTCAAATTGAAATGTTTGAAAATTCTCGATTTCAATGGGAGAGTTGAGTGAAACGATTGGAAGGTGCTTTTGATGTGTTTCAAATTGAAGAGAATAAGAAACTGCCATACTTACTACATTATATGGGACCTGATACATACGATCTTCTTTGCGACAAGCTTTCACCTAACAAACCTACAGACAAGACATACAATCAAGTTGTTAAACTTTTACAAGATTACTACAGTCCTGTCCCTTTGGAAATTGCAGAAAATTTTAGATTCCATCAACGCAAACAGCACGAGGGCGAAGGTATTCAGGAATTCTACACTGCTTTGCAGAAGTTAGCAATTCATTGCAACTTTGGAGATTACCAAAAGAAGGCTCTGAGAAATCAATTCGTGTTTGGCATTCGGAGTGAGAAAATACAAAATAGACTTCTTGAAACAAAGGACCTTACAATGGACAAAGCAATAGGAATTGCTGTTGGAATTGAACTTTCAGCGAGAGACACCGTACAATTACACAGGGGAGAGTTTCAAACAGCGGTACAATTGGAGCTGTGGATATAAACAGACCACACATGAAATACAATTCCAAGAAAGGCAAATTCAATACATCCAATACAAGCAAGAAAACCTATAATTTTAGTGGCGTGAAATGTTATAGATGTGGAGGAAGCCATTCAGCTTTTAGATACGATATTCGATACAAGAATACAAAGTTACATGGTAATGGAGATTGCATGTCTCGATTACCAATTAATTCTGAACAATTATACGATTTTGAAGAATCAGACATATCTGAAATAAGTCAAATAGAAACACTACCTGTTACAGTTAGTAAACTAGCTCAAGCTACTAAAATGGATAAGAATTTACAACCATTATTCATGGGATTAAAAACTGGTAAAGTGATTGATAGTAAACTACGTTTCAATATTGATCAAAACGAATTCACCATACAACAAGAATGTATTTTGCGAGGTCAAAGAGTAATAATACCTAAAATTTTACAAAAACAAATTTTAGATGAGTTACACCCTGCACATTTTGGTATTTACAAAATGAAAGGTTTAGCACGTAGTTATTGCTGGTGGCCTGGTATAGACAACGATATTGAAACGTTAGTAAAGAATTGTGCTAACTGCAATCAAATTAAGCATAATTCTACAGTAGTACCAGTGCATTCATGGGAAAGTGTTCATAAACCATTTCATCGTGTACATGTCGACTATGCAGGTCCATTTTATGGTCATTATTATTTTATTTTAGTTGATGCGTATTCACGATGGCCCGAAGTTTATGTTACAAAAGATATGACTACCAATAACTACCATAAAAACATGCCGAGAAATATTTAGTCGTTTTGGCATACCGCGTGTACTGGTGAGTGATAATGGCAGAAATTTTGTATCTTACGCTTTTGAAAGTTTTCTTAAACAAAACGGAATTAAACATAATTTAAGTGCGCCATACCATCCTGCGACAAATGGGTTGGCAGAACGATACGTTCAAACATTAAAGCAATCATTACGCGCAATTAATGGTAATAGTTCTGATGTTGAAAAAGAATTATGTAGATTACTTTTACAATATCGCAAAATGTCTCATAGTATTACCAAACAATCACCTTCAATGTTAATGTTCGGACGTGAAATTACATCCCGATTGGATTTAATTAAACCCGATTTAAATAAAAATGCTACTGCAATTCGTAATAATATACCAGTTCGAGATTTCCAAATTAATGACGGAGTTGCTGTAAGAAACTATGCAAACGATATCCAATGGAAATTTGGAAATGTTGATAAAAAGTTAGGGAAATTACACTATCATGTTAAGCTTGATAATGGTAATGTTTGGAAGAGATACGTTGATCAGTTACGCAGAATTGGGGTGCTACTCCGCGAGACGCTCCTCAAAATGATGATATTCCTTATGACCCCTCTAACAATCATCCTGATGTTACAACTTTACCCGAAACTTTACCTGATCCAGAAATAAATACACCTACGTTGGACATAACGGCCAGTGTACCTACAAATGAAGAGAATACTTTACCGCAGCTACGCCGTTCTAACCGTGTACGTCGTCCTCCGGATCGTTTAAATTTATAAGTTGGGGAGGAGTTGTTGTGTTTACATTCGGAACTTATGCGATTTTATAATTTAATTAAAAAAATAGCATGTGTATATAAACAATTTAAATAATAACTTCAATATAAATAAAACTTGTCTTGTCATACAATTTCCTTAAACCGTTTAATTCCTACAAATACAATATCACCCATCAACACCGTACAGAAAGAGGAAGATAAAATAGTTTGGAAACAACATCAATGAAATCAATAAATCTTCCTTTCGGCTATTTACAGAGTGGTTCATATAATGATTTAACTAAGACCATTGTATATTTATTACAAAACTATTGTTTCAGAATTCCAGCTTATTCGTTAATTAAATGAATAAACAAAGATAAGACCACAAGACGAATCCTGTTGGGGCAAGTCAAAAGTGCCTCCCGGCCCGCTGCTACGCTTATGCTTTTTGTATATTGACCTTCATTGCTACCAACCTAAGAAAAATGCAAACACAACACTAAACAACCAATTAAATTTATTATTGTGAGTTTATGACAGACACGTCAAGAGATACATCACATTTTTGGAAAATTCTTTTGCGTAGTAAAAAAAATGAAATAATTGCACAGACTTCAGCTGTCACCAAACGTAATAAAAACCGATAAAGACATTCTCTACAAAATGTGAGCGTACCGAACCCTCAAATTATGCATTACCTACTAATTTGCAATTAAAATTTTTTTAAAGTCACTGTTTTAGTACAACGGCCTTCCAAAGTACAAATGTGTATATATAATGGCATCTAGTGCTAGTTCGTCAACAGGCTCGTCTAAAAAGATAGACGCAAATGGTGGACCGGATACGGCAGATAAGGAGGAAAAGAAGGAAGATCGTACGTTCGAGTGCAACATCTGCCTTGACACAGCTCGCGATGCTGTCGTCAGTATGTGCGGGCATTTATTCTGGTAGTATCAGACTTCTAATGACATTTAAGTAATAGCCTTTTAGCTGGCCCTGCTTACACCAGTGGCTCGAGACAAGACCGAGCCGACAAGTCTGTCCCGTATGCAAAGCCGCGATAAGCAAAGAGAAAGTCGTACCGTTGTACGGTCGCGGCAGCACCAAGCAGGAAGACCCCAGGGAGAAAGTCCCACCTAGACCTGCGGGACAACGTACCGAACCGGAAGGCGGCTCAACTTTTCCAGGTTATTACAAGCTTAGTAACAAAATTATTTGTTGATTGCAACTTGTAGGCTTCGGCTTTGGCGATACAGGATTTCATATGTCCTTCGGTATTGGCGCGTTTCCGTTTGGATTCTTTACCTCGACTTTTAATTTTGGTGATGCGAGACCAGGTGCCGCCCCTCACGGTACGCCTCAGCATTTGGAGGAACAATATCTGTCAAAGCTGTTTCTGTGGCTAGCCGTACTGTTTATTTTTTGGTTGTTATTGGCTTAAGGACACTTTTAATCAAATATTATACAAATCACTTGTGTACATTGTTTATAATTAAACGTTGTGTAATTTTTAATTAGTAGAAATGTATGTATATATTACACTGCAATTAGAGTGGAATTTTATTTTAAAATTTTTACATAAAGTGCGTATAAAAAGAACTATGTGAGACATTTACTACTCGCACCCGATTTGTAGTGGGGTAAGGATGTGGTCAGGCCACAAACTACCTATAAGTCATGTTTCTGTTTACGTTGAAATTTGTGATCTTCAAGCAACGCGTTACATTCCTCCCTATTGTACCCTTCCAAATTAATCCTTTTCACCTCCACATCGTGCTTGTCAAAAAATATCAACTCGGGAGACGCCCCCGGTATTAGTTTCAATTCTGTGTTTTCGTAATTTACAAAATCCTCATGGATGAATGCCTTTAATTCAGGTAACCGATTCAGTTTACAACCCCCGCACGTCTAAAAAACAGTGTAAGTGCGAACAGTTAGTGCTCGAGACTCGTACATACTTCGATTTTTGCTCTTGATAATGTAGTGGCACTGATACTATTCAATTGCGCCAAAATTAGAAGACCAAAAGTGATGAATAACGTGAAGGAAACAGCCATTTCAAACGAAATTGAGTGGCGATGAGAAATTGATGACTACCACTATTCAAGGTTATGTATTTTGTTGTAATTGGTTATACTGATTTTGCAACAAACTCATCTATTAAAAACACGGAAAGTATATGTGTTCTTTGCAATGCCTAACTCTGGTTAATGGTAATATTATTATTGTACCATAACGGCGCCATCTTGTCGTTTTCACACGAAACTGTCGAGAGATCTCCCAGCATGGAAGCTATCCTCCATTTATAAGACTGCAATAATTGTTATTAGAGAAACACAAATAAACTTGCTTGTGAAGGATTGGAGTTATCGCTAGCACCGTCTATTGAGCAATGTAACGGTAGCTCCAAATGTGGGTTTAATTTTTTTAGAAAGTAGTCATTTCGGAGATTATTTAGGGGTGCGCATTGTTGCAAGCGAACAGGGTGGTCGAAGGATAGAGACTTGGTAATTTCAAAATTTGAGTACGTAACTTTAGATTAGAATAGATTCGCAGTTTCCATTTTTAAGCTGGCAATCATTTTTTTGTTCTGCGTATTTAAATTCTATTATCTTAATTGGTTATATCTGCTCCAAACCGCAGCGTAAATATTAGGTCATTTATGTGTTGGTTCCTGGAAGTTGAAGATGGTGGTAATTGAATTAATTTCTAGAGTTGTGTTTCAGCCGCCGCTAACGTAAATAACGCTGCAACTAATTGGTCGTTTGTAACCATTCCCGTCAAACATTTTAAATCTTTGGAAGGATCATTCTTTAACTGCAAAATGAATTTATTGTATCTTCCGTAAATACATTGGGCACATTTAAAATCCTAGAAATTCCATTAAATATAGGTGTTAATTGGACTACCGATTTGAGAAAATTCAATCCGGCCACTTAAGTAAGTGAAATTAACAGTAGCTAAATAAATGAGTTAGTAAACCTCATTTCACATAGTCGTGTGGGATATCAAAAGAAGCGCTCTTAATTTGTTTCAATTTTGGGACCATTTACAGATTTTTAAGACGTCAGCAGGTCGCGCAATTCATTAAAGAAGTTGTAATTTTTGGACAGTATTAACCGATACGCCGCCGGCCGACCCGGTATTTCCTACGTTCGCTTTCCGTATTTTGGGGAGTTTATATTTATAAACGCTTAATTTAGATCTTTTACCATATACAAAAAAATGTCAGTTTTATACAACGAGTTATAGCCTAAGGAGCAACTACAAGTCAACCAGACAGTAAGTAAAATCAACACACTTGGACTGTTTTTTTCTGAAGCCCCGCAGAGAAAAATGCCTGCCACCTATGCTACATCATTCTGGTTACGAGCCTAACAGTATCTCAACAGGTCTAAAACCTTTTGCAATTAAAGTCTGCGGCAAACCTTATAATAACAAATATTCCGAGAGTTTTATTGAAATTCCAAGTGCCCAAAGAGTATTTGAGACAAATACTTGGTAAAATTTTTAAATTATGGTTAGAGTTCTAGATAGCGCCTCAAAAGTGCTGAAAGTTCCTTTAATAAGGTTTTGGGCTGGCACTATTCGGTTTTCCCCCACTGCTCATACACAAAAAAATAAAATGCAATAGAGCATGCTTAGACAGATAAAAGTCCTACCTTTATAAGGCTGCCCTTTTGGAATCTGCAACAAAAAAAGACTTAAATAAAAAAGATGACTAAATCTTTTACGGTTAGTCTCCAAGTATCCCCTCCTAAGGGGGCTTATTTAAAAGGCATATTAACCGTGAATTAAAGTTTAAATCCGCACAAATAAAGAAATCTTCCAAAAAATGGCTTACAATGACAATTTACATTTTTTATAGAAAAAGTGAAAGCTTACCCTTTAGCCTTACTAATTGGGACTCGCCTGGATGGAACATTAACCACAGGACGTTGACGTTGCAAACTGGAATGATGAACTATAGGTATCTTCGTCACCAATAACTGAAAACAAAATTATATAAATGACCAAGGACTTTACGGATATTGGTGACCACTTGCAAAACAGCGCCGCTTTACAGTGATCAACGGAATAAACACTTTGTGTGAAGTACTTCTGTAGGATGAGTACGTGACTAATTACCTTCATTCTTATTTAAACGTTATGGAAGGTACAAAATCAATTGATTTTTTACAGACGTAAATTATTGATGAGTAATATGCTGCATTAATTCGGCAATTAAAAAGTTCATTGGTTTGGCGTACTCACCTTGTCTGAATGAACTTTGGGCTTCTTCGGAAAAATCGAGGGTAGACTTGAATCCATCGCATAGATTGATACTTAATGGTAAATCCTGGCCAGTTCGGTTCGAATTCAAATGATATGAACGAAATTGTGTTCAATCGACCACATTTAACCTTACAAGATTAAGATTTACATTATACAGGGTGACCCAATAGTACTGTAGGTGCTAATACCAATCAAAATGTCCGCATGACGTAGTTTACATAACAGTATATTGTTATCAGCCCTAATTTAACGATTTTTTCAAGCAGTAAATCCTTACCCTTTGGCCTTATTGATGAGATCCAGCCTAACAGGAGGTAATCGCACTTGTTGACGTTGATAGACCGCCTATTGGTAAACTGGAGTGATGTGGTATGGGTATTTTCATCATCAATAACTGAAAATAAAAATATTATTAACCGCCGAAGTAAGAAATCAAAATCTGTAGGTGTTTTACAAAGGAAAATGATCGATGAGTGTATGCTACACTAAATGAAGCAATTAAAAAGTGCCGGTCCATCCAAATGGGTTTGGACTTACTCACCTGCCAGAATCGAGCGTAGTTAAATCCGATCTGGTCCATCACAGATGTTGATAATGGTAAATCCTGGCCAGCAGATGGTGCTGTGAATAATTGATGAGATTAGTACAACCACCAAAGTATACGCTTAAGGCGTGTTCATTTCATAATCAGTCTCATTTAGTCACCTATCTCATCGTATGAGGGAAGAGTTAAGATAAGACTAATTAATTAACGAATACGTCTATAGGTAACGATTTAATTACTAACCTTCTTTTAAAAACCAATGCATTTATCTTCGTGTGATTAATAAATGGGCTATAGCCACCCTCGCAGACATTCACCTGGAGAACGTAATAATTAGCTAGTCTGATTCGCAGAGAAAATCAATTTACTTCACGAGATTGGTATGGCTATGAAGTCATAGTCATACTAATTCACGGTAGGTAAACTGATTGACGTCGCGAAAAAGTCAATTCAAAGAATTACTGCAGTCACCAGAACGATAGGCCGAGAAGGTAGCCACAATCTATTTAGAATTACAACACGAACGATAGCTAAAATGAATCGCGGATTTCCACTTTAATCACTGTATGCACTTTTCACTTTTCCCCCACTGCTAAATACATAAAAAATAAAAAGCCCATGCATAGAAAAGAAAAATCCTACCTTTATAAGGCTGCCCATCTAGAATCTGAAACAAAAAAATTAATTAAAAAGATGCAGAAAGGTAAGTTTGTGAAATTATGCTTAATTAGTCCAATACTTTATTGAGAATTCTTATGACAAAAATTTAAATAAAAAAAGATCTCTAATTTCTTGAAAAGACTACCCTTAGGTACATTTGCTTTTGTTTAGATTTTACTGTAAATATTAAGTTCATAATTAAAAATTGACACCTTACCCTTAGCCTTATTATTCCGATCTCGCCTGGGAAGGACCACGCACACAGGAGGGACGACGACGACACGCTGCCTCTCGTACCCGTTCACGTTCGTAGATTACTGGCAGACAGGCATGGTAAGTTGGAGGTATCTGCAATGTAAAAAAGTACATATTACAAAAAGCTCTAATACCACGCTGGTGATTTATTTGTGTAAATTAATACTGAAACTAAAACCAAAGCGTTACATGACAACTATGGGCAATATGCAATGGTACAGAAATTAAAAAGTTTTGCGTCGGTTTATTTTCAATACTTACCGCTTGAACTGAGTTCAATAGAACCTAGGCCAGTGTTATTCCATGTCAGAAGTTGGAACCTGATGGGAGATGGAGATCTTGAAGTACTGCATTTCTGGCGCTGCGGACAGGAGAAAAGAATAGTAAGTTGGCCTAGTGGGCCCATCATTCCTTTAAAATCAATTATCGGGTATGTTCGCTTATTAACAAATTGTCATATCAACGACAACTTTCTTTGAACTAAAACGATTATAAGCGAACACACGCATACAGTAATGTAACTACTTACCTCCATTAAAAAACCTTTAAGCTGATTTTTATCAAATACTAAATGTGGTATGGCTATCATCGAAGCTACTCTACTACGTGACGGAAGAATTGACTGGAATACGTCTTTATAGTGTGATTCTCAAGAAGTATGACTATACATAGCCAACTGATTAATACAGTGAGAGACTAGTAGAAGAAACATTGCAGTCAGACCTACGTTAGCAAGTTGATAGGTTGGATAAACGGTCACAACTCACTTTGTATTACAATTCGGAAATCAGCTAATGTAATACCTACCTTTTCTACCTTTTAATCACAATATGCACTATTCACTCCCCCCTTGCTAAATACACAAAAAAAAATGCCATAACCCATGCACAAAAAAGAAAAATCCTACCTTTATAAGGCTGCCCTTCTGGAAACTGAAACAAAAAAATTCCTACAATATACAAAATCCTTACATCATGCATTACAAACAAAATATACCAACACTGTACTGATAACAACATTCTATACGAAGAACAAAAAGGGTGTACCAAGTATTCCAGAGGCTGTAAAGAGCAACTCATTATAGACTCCGTTGTACTTGAACAATCCAGACATAACAAACGAAACATACACACTGCATACATTGATTACAAAAAAGCATTCGATTCAGTACCACACTCTTGGTTACAACAAGTACTCTCAATATACAAAGTCAGCAACAATATTACACAATTCCTCAATTACATAATGTCATGTTGGAACACTACGTTAACACTTACACTAAACGACACAAAACTTATTACCGACCCAATACAAATTAAAAGAGGAATTTTTCAAGGCGATTCTTTAAGTCCGCTCTGGTTTTGTCTTGCTCTTAATCCACTTTCATATTTGTTAAACACTACCAACTTTGGGTACAATATTAAACACAACCACGAAATACATCACAACATTACACACCTGTTTTACATGGACGATCTTAAATTATACTCTTCCACATGCATCAAACTTAATCACCTTCTACACATTACCGAAACATTCTCACGTGACATACAAATGGACTTTGGAATCGATAAATGTAAAACACAACACATCACAGCTGGAAAAAGACAACTTTTAGATTATGAGCTAGAACAGGGTAATTTAATAAATTCCATGGACGAGAATGAAACTTATAAGTATCTTGGTTTTCAGCAAAACACACACATTAAACATACGAGTATAAAACAAACACTTATCACACAATACCTACAAAGAGTACGCAGTATACTTAAAACAAAATTACACGGTAGAAATACAATCAAAGCTATTAACACTTATGCCACACCAGTGCTTACATACTCTTTTGGGATTATACGTTGGACAAATACAGATTTAGAACAAATACAGAGAAACACACGTACACTATTAACAAAACACCATATACATCACCCTCACTCCTCTACTATACGACTTTACCTTCCTCGTTCGGAAGGAGGTAGAGGACTTACAGATATAAAAATATTGCACCAAACACAAATACACAATTTGCGGCAATACTTTTATAACAAAACAGATACTTCAGTCCTACACAAAACAGTAACATATGCAGACAAATCTTACACACCACTTAACCTACACGAAACTAATATACTCCCACCTCCATCCAAACTTACATACATCACAAATAACATACAGACATGGAACCAAAAGCCGTTACATGGACGATTTCCGCAAGAGGTTAGTCAGGATTGTGTTGATTCTATAGCAACGCACACTTGGTTGTCTGAATGTGATATCTTCCCGGAGACTGAGGGTTTCATATTAGCAATACAAGACCAGGTCATTAATACACGCAACTATAAAAAACACATACATAAAGACAAAACAGTGACAAACGATTCTTGTCGACTCTGTTCACAAACATCAGAAACAATGCAACATATAATATCGGCATGCACACGACTTGCACAAACTGAATACAAACATCGACACGATCAGGTAGCTAAAATCATACATCAAAAATTAGCACTTAAACACAATCTCACAACAGATAAGACACCATACTACAAATACACGCCACAGATCATACTTGAAAACAACACACACAAATTATATTGGGACAGGACACTACTCACAGACAAAACTATCCAAAATAATAGACCAGATATTACACTTATAGATAAAACACAAAAATCCATTTGTATTATAGACATTGCCATACCCAACACTAACAACTTAACTAAAACACATGCAGAAAAACACTGTAAATACACCGATATAGCTATCGAGCTTAAGACGCAATGGAGAATGAAATCTACTGTTATAGTTCCCATTATTCTTAGTGCTACCGGAGTTATACCAAAGACAATACACCACAATTTACAACTATTAGGTTTGGACAAAAACACATACAAACATTTACAAAAAACAGTCATTATCAACACATGCCATATTGTTCGTAAATTTCTAAACATAACACAAGATACTACATACAGAAATGATCCACAACGTATACATGTAAACAACAGCACTCCCTCACAACACGGTACACAACATACTGTAATATCTCCACCTCTAACCCAGACAAACACACAAATACAACTTACCGAACAAACAAGTACAACAAATGATACAACATATACTACATTCAGAGATTCACCTCTGAAGCAAACCACATTATCACAACCCATTAGTATTCAACCCAAACGCAAAAGCCTAAACAGCACTTTAGACTCACAACATGACACACATGTAATATTTCCAAACTTAACTCAACCAACCACACAAACACAACTTCCTGAACAAACAAACGCAATAAATACAAGTAACGCAACACGCACTACAAAGACGCCCTCACCCACACGACCTAGCACATCTGAAAAACACAATACTCTTTCTTCTCAGAAACACACCACACGTTATCACAAACACAACCCACTCGTACTCAACCCAAACGCAACAACCTTAACACAGGCTCACAAAATACTGTAATGTCTCTACCAATAACCCATGCAACAACAGAAATACAACTTCAAGAACAAAGAAACACCATAAATACAAGTAACGCAACATGCACTACAAAGGCAGGTCCATCCAATAAAGTTACACGCCCTAGCACATTTAAAAAACACAAAACTCCTTCTTCACAGAAACACACCACATTTTCACAACCCACTCGTATTCAACCGCAACGCAAAAACCTTAACAGAACTACAGGCTCACAACATACTAAAATATCTCCACCTAAAACCCAAGCAACTTCACAAATACAACCTCAAGAACAAAGAAACATCATAAATACAAGTAACGCAATATGCACTACAAAGACATGTCCACCCAATAAAGTTACACGCCCTAGCACAATTAAAAAACACATAACTCCTTCTTCACCGAAGCACACCACGTTATCACAACCCACTCACTCGTATTCAACCCAAACGCAGAAACCTATACAGCACTACTAGCTCACAAAATACTGTAATATCTCCATCAATAACCCAAGCAACCTCACAAATACAACCTCAAGAACAAAGAAACACCATAAACACAAGTAACGCAACATGCACTACAAAGACAGGTCCACCCAATAAAATTACACGCCCTAGCACAGTTAAAAAACACATAACTCCTTCTTCACCGAAGCACACCACGTTATCACAACCCACTCGTATTCAACCCAAACGCAGAAACCTATACAGCACTACTAGCTCACAAAATACTGTAATATCTCCATCAATAACCCAAGCAACCTCACAAATACAATCTCAAGAACAAAGAAACACCATAAACACAAGTAACGCAACATGTACTACAAAGACAGGTCCATCCAATAAAGTTACACGCCCTAGCACAGTTAAAAAACACAATACTCCTTCTTGTCAGAAACAACCCACTCGTATACAACCGAAACGCAAAAACCTTAACACAGGCTCACAAAATACTGCAATATCTCCACCAAAAACCCAAGCAACCTCACAAATACGACCTCAGGAACAAGGAAACACCATAAATACAATTAAAAAACACAAAACTCCTTCTTCACAGAAGCACACCACGTTATCACAACCCACTCGTATTCAACCCAAACGCAAAGCCAAAGAAACACTTACACAATAAACTCCATTTAATAAAATTACAGGAATTATTATAATGATTTTTTTTGCTTTGTTTTCCTCTTTCCTGATAGCGTTGGCTATTGTGCCCATCAATAGGTATGTTGGTAAGTACGAATTACATTATCCCTAGATGTCCAATGTACGTGTGTGATTTTTTTATTTTATTTTTTATTTTTTTTTTTATTTTTTTTTTATTTTTTATTTTTTTTTTTAATGACCCTACATAACTTCACCAGACACAGACACAGACACTAATCGTTACTTGATTTTAATCCGTGCGATTAGTTAACCAGGCTAGACCTGAGTTCTCACAAGAAACACCGATAATAATAATAGTGCTTTTATTGCAATAAAAAGAGTTCTTTGTGATACACAGACACAGACACTAATCGTTACTTGATTTTAATCCGTGCGATTAGTTAAGCAGGCTAGACCTGAGCTATCACAAGAAACACCGACCATAATAATATATATTTATTCCAAGAATTGCATGGAATCCCATGGTAGAAATTCAGCAAAAGCTGCTCATCCATATGCACCATGCACATAAATAAGTTGGTTAACGTATAAAATAAAAAGTTACACTTTTTCAGTTGAATTGAGTCCAAAGATTTTAAGGACATATTTATCAGCCCAAAATAAGAAATTTTCTTCATTTAATTGTAGTCCTAACTTGCTTCGTTTTCTAGATACAGGGTGTAAGTTTTTTTTAAATCTGGTTTTCTTTTATTCCCACCAAAGGACTGCTCTTATGACGACAAATAAGCCTGTCAAATTTTATTTAAATCGGGTGAAAGGTTTTTGAATAATTGATAAAAAAACCTATTTTAAAAAAACTTATACACCTTGTATCTAGAAAACGAAGCAAGTTTACCAGAAACAGACAGACAGCAAAATAAAAAGATCCGAGTTATTAATACCGAAATTCATGCTGATTTGATGGTTTCAATGGGCACATAGAAAACTGACAGGCGAAAATATTTCCTTATACGCTAAAAGTAGGTCTCTTTTTACAAAATTAAAACCTAATTTAGAAAAAAAAAGTTAGCAGAAGGAATCGGCAGATGGACGGACGAACGGAAATAATTTCCAAGTTAAAGTAAAAATTCAGCTGAAGGCAAGGGTAGACAGAAGCACGGACAGACGGAATTGGATTTTAAGCTGTCCAAAATAAAAACCTACTTATTTTGAGAAAACTTTAATTGTGACAATTTAGCAGCAAATTGAGTGCAAAGATTTTAAGGACGTATTTACCAGCCAAAAATAAGAAACTTTTTGGATATAATCGTATGTTCTAACTTG